TAGATTGATATGACCCAATCTAGAATGCCATAAGAGAGTTTCATTAGTACTAGACGACCTCTTTCTTTTCTTAGCAGTAGTAGTATTATGTATAGAGCCAATCAAAGGACTTAAGACATAAAGACTATTAAACATATGACCTAAACATATAACAGAATTATTCGACTTGATAACCAACGTAGAACGGGTAAAAAGTACCGAATAACCAACATGATATAAAGGTGCAACAGAAACCAAGTTCCGTATAAGTTCGGGAACATAATAACAGTCATCTAATATCAAATACCTACGATTCTCAAAACATAAAGTAAAAATGCCAACAGCTTTGGCAGATACTACTGTTCCTGTGCCAACCCTAAGAGTGTACTTCCTTTCACTGAGATGCTTGGTTTCCTGGAACCCCTGCAGAGAATTGCAAACATGATTAGTGGCTCCAGAATCTACAATCCAGGTATTAGTAGAATCAACCACTAAGCATGACTCAATGAATAGGACATTATTTCCTTTACCTTACTTCCCCTTAGCTAGGTAATTTGGGCAGTTCCTCTTCCAGTGACCATGTTGTCCACAAATAAAACACTTTCTCTTTGGTTCCCATCAGCAGTAGTTTTCTTCCCCTTTGACTTGCTATCTGGCCTTTTGTTTGGCCTCTTCCTCTTCTTTCCTCCTTTGCCACCAGAAGGCTTAGGATAAGAGGGTCTAGCTGTAACAGTTAAAGCACTTCCACTCCTAACTTTTAGAATAGATTCAACATTTTGTAGCTCTCTCATTAATTTCGTCAGAGACATGTCTATCTTGTGTAGATTATAATCAACTATAAATTGTGAGAACATCTCAGGAAGAGTCTCAAGAACCATGTCAATCTGCGTCTCGGAATCAATGTCAGCTCCTAAAACCTCTGCAGCATTGAAGTGACCAATCATGGTTAACATATGGTCTCTGACAGATGCACACGGTTTCATGCGTGTGTTCATGATTGCCGTAATGTAGGCTTGCCTAGCTTGTTGGCTTTAATGTCCAAACATCTCTTGAAGACTTTCCATTATGTCAAAAGCAGTTTGCATATTCTGATATTTCTGTTGTAATACATTTGACATGGATGTCAAAATGTAACAACGGGTCATCTTATCAGAATGATGCCACTTTTTATATGCAGCCTTTTGAGATTCTATGAAGTCATCTTTAGGGGTTTCGGGACAAATTTCATCCAGCACAAATTTGTGTTTTTTAGCGGTAACAATATTAAGATTCATTTTTCAGTCAACATAGTTTTCTCCCACAAGTTGATTTTTGTTAAGTATTACTGATAATGGATTAAGCGATATTTTCTGTAAAATTAACGATTCGCGTATTAATAAAATGAGCAATAATCTTTATATGATGCATGTATATGAATATGTAAATATAGACCCAAAACTATATTTGTAATAAAAAAATCTTAAACCCTTCAACTTTTAACACGCCCTCTATAGGAGGTCAATGTAGTTGTTGGCAAGGTTGGGGCCCTCCCACTCATTTTATTGAGCTAGGCATCTCATGCCACAAGAAAATGAGGATTGATTATTATTTAGCCTATGAATAATTTTGTTGAAATCTTCTATAGGAAGTCCCCCAAAAATATTCATTTATAAGTGTAATAACCTCCGTCAATAATTTTAAAATATCTGAAATATATAAGATGTCGTCTATAAGATGATCATCACATTATTTCATTTTTAAAGAAATTATATTTCTAGATCCAATTTCAATTAATCTAAAATAACGTAGTTTTCCTATAGGGAGACCGATATTATTCGATACTAAACATACATATTTTAATAACAAATTGGATGATTGAGGAGGCCGTAGGTTTATACATGCCTATAAACCCTCTCCCTCTTATTATTTTGCACCGTTGGATTTTCATTAAATTAGTCAACCAAATATAAACAATTATAATGGCGCTAATTATAAAATATTTTTCAACCACCTCTAATTAATTTAGAGTGATAAAAAAATATTTAAATGTAAATGCATATGATTTTAGTGTACCGGATGGTGTTTCATTTAATTTACATGACATGCGATAATAATTAAACATTCATCCATCCATAAAGCGGTAAAAGCGATAATTAAATGAATAATAATCATTAATGGCCTATACTAAGAATTTAAATTACAACATGGATAAAAAGAATTACATTCGGCCACATCCCGACCCAATTTTTCAATTTTCTTTGTAGTCCACCTCACGTAACATGAAAATAGATTAATTTAATTTTTAGGCCCAAAACTTAAAATCAACAAGGCCATTATCCAACAACATTGGCCGAAGTATTAAAGAGATGCCCAAAAAATCCAAAATACCCAAATTTTCAAACCCTAGAAAGAAAACACACATAACACCAAAGCACGCACAACTCCAGCAACGGAGCAATCTCCGGCGACCTAAAAAAAAAAAAAAAAAAAGGGCCACCCGCACCATTGCCAGCGAGTGCATATTTATAATACACTATTAGGGTTTGAAAATTGCACAAATTTCCTTAGACTTTATTGTAGTAGGCCAATTAAATCACACGCCTTTTATTGGAGCCAAGAGAGGGACCTAACCAGACTCACATGACCCAAGTTCCAATAGATGTTTTCAATTGGGGTAACCTTGGCCAATTGAGAGATACATCTATTAATCTCGACTTATTCTATCAAAAAATCGAGATTGCACTCTCGAGTCGAGTAATAGTTATAGAAGCAAATTATAATCCAATAACATATCCTCTGATTATCGTTCCCCCCATTTGACCGTCAATATGTTGAAACTGGCAAAATGACCGTTTTGCCCTTCAACATTTATTACCCTCTAAGTCCGTTGTGATCAAATCACAACGTAAAGTCCAACGATCTCATCGTCGACTTACTGAGCTCAGATTCAATTCGCCTAAGAAAATATCTTAGAGTGATGATCGTCTCATCTCAATGATTAATGGATTTCAATATTGTAAGTATATGATCTCTAATTGTTTCGGCCCGATTTCCAAAGCACCGAGATCAATCTTCTATTTAAAACTTCACTCATTGGTACCTCAAAGAACTTGAACTAGCAATCAAAGGTATATTACTCACTAAGGATTTAGGTAACCTGTTTGATAATCAAGTAGAGTCTCATTTCAAACGGTCACAAATGAGTAGGGATGTAAACGAGCCGGGCCAAGTCGGCTCGCGAGCCTAAAGTTTCGGCTCAGGCTCGGCCCGGTTAAAATGGCTGAACTTTTTTGCGGGCTCGAGCCGGGCCGAGCAAAAGCTCGGTCAAAAAAATAGGCTCGGCCCGAGCTTTTGCTCAGGCTTTTTACGGGTCGAGCCGAGCAAGCTCCTTTTTTTTCCCTAAACTAAAAGGCAGTAGTTTGGTTAAAATGGCTGAACTTTTTTGCGGGCTCGAGCCGAGCCGAGCAAAAGCTCGGTCAAAAAAAATAGGCTCGGCCCGAGCTTTTGCTCAGGCTTTTTACGGGTCGAGCCGAGCAAGCTCCTTTTTTTTCCCTAAACTAAAAGGCAGCAGTTCCAAACTGCTACCTCAGACTTAACTTTTTTTTTTTTTTTTTTTTGGAAAGCTCGCGAGCTCACAGGCCGACTCGGGCAAAGCCCGTGTCTCCAAAATGGGGCTCGTCTTGAGCCTAGGCTCGGGTCTACCGAGCCTTGAGCCGAGCCGGCTTGGGCTTTTCCCGAGCCAGCGAATCCGATTGCCATCCCTACAAATGAGTCGTCTACACGATCCCGTTCAATGTGCATCGAAACACATTATTGTTTTTATTTCAAGATCTAGACAAATCTTAATAAGAACAATACAATCTTATCAATATAAAACGTCCAACTTTATGAACCGATTGTGAACGACATAATTTTGATCACATAACAAATTGTGTCTTATTATATCTGTTCCATCGAGTATACAATTTGTGACATCCTATATGATCATGGAACCTTAGCCAATCACTTCAAATTATAACACGCAAATAAACAAAGGTAAATTCATAATGTGATTTTACAGAACACTACTCGAAGAATGGGCATCAAACTAACAATAATCTATTATGTAGTTATAGATTTCAATCAACACCCATGAAATAGTGCCAAAAAATCTTGAAAGTTGCAAACTTTTCACCAAATGTCATGAATAATTCAAATAAAAACCAACCTTAACGGCTTTTTTTTAGTTCTAAGCAACCACATAGAACAAACTCTTGCGGTCACATAGGTGGTTAATCACTTGTATGTCATATAAAGTTTTGCCCTCCAAATCCCCCCCGCCCCCAAGGTACGAGAATTCAAACTCCAGGATATATATATCACGGATCTGAAGATAATAATAATTAAGTCTTTGTTCAAATTAAAATTGGAAGACTTTGAAAGAAATCTACGCTATAAGAAATGAATAATTGAGAAAGAAAATAAATGAAAAGAAGTTTCAGATTTGAAGTTAATTCTCATTTGGACTATTCGCCATCTTTGAAAATTATAAACAAGACCACTCGCGCAAAATTTGGCACTGATTAATGAGTGCATGCATGTGGTTCCAAGAAAAGTTCGCCTCTTCTGCAAATAACCACATACATTACATGTGATTGAAACCTTATCTTTGAAAATTACGCTGAATCTCAAACATCACTAGCTCCCAGTTGAAGAGGGAACTTCCAAGTTTAGCTACGTAAGGTACACTTTCGAATGTTTTTGCAGATGCTTTGAAATTAAGAGAGAGAGAAAATGTAACAAAAATTATCTTAAAAGGAATATTCATGGGATATGCCTATCAATGCAAATTATGTACATTTTTTAATTAATTAAAGACCCTGCATTTTCTTAGAAATAGAACGAAATCTACCAACAATATATAATTAATATTTTTCCTGCAAGAGGTCACTTTCTGGACAACGTGTGAAGAATTGCGTTTCCGGTTGGAATTTAGCAGCAAAAGAGGAAAAACTACACATTTTACTGTAGCAATCCTTGTGCTATAAATAGGCATAATATATTGTTAGTTAGATGCAGAAAATTGTGATTCCCTATAGAATAGTCAGTAGAAACAAAAATTTAAAGCTTTTGTTAGTTAAATTGTTTAAGAATGGCGATTGAACGTATCATCATTGTGGCACTCATTGCCACAAGCTTGATTTCCATGACCAGTGCCATTCCCGGCACTGCCACTTTCTACACAACTTATTTTCGTAAGTTTCCATTCATGATCTTATTTAAATTAGAAGTTGGAAATTAATGAGTTTTCCCGTTAAGATGTCATTATTTTTTTTGTTTTTCAAATATATTTTTCATGTGACAAAGTAGAGGTTTTGAACCATTTTGAAGACTTGACCACCCGAGGTTAAACTTTTCAAAATTAGTTCAAATTATAATGTGATTTGAACACATTTTTTAAGTCATTAATTTTTATTTTTTTTCAATTATAATTGAGATTCAAGTCTTTTTTTCTTTTCTTTTTTTCTTTTTTTTTTTTTTGTGTTTAGCTCAAAGTGTTTTTATATATGAAAACCAATTCGAACACCTATACCGTCTAAAAATATTCATTCACAACCACAAATATTGTCGATATTTATGAACTAGGTTAATCGGAAGATTGAGTGTCACGCATGTTCCTCTAATAATTCATTGAATTTTACTTTCGATTTACAAAGACAGGCTCTAAAAATAATCCAGTTTATGATCTATCTATAAGTAAAACTATCTACAAGCTTATTTATGACACTGGTTGAACTATTCGCAGCATCGGCATGTTATGGCAATGAAGACCGAGGCAGAATGATCGCAGCGGCAAATCCTTCATTGTACAACAATGGAGCAGCATGTGGAACAAGGTATCGAGTGACTTGCACTGGACCGACTAACCAAGGCGTACCACAACCTTGCACGGGGAATGATGTAACCGTAACAATTGTAGATCTTTGCCCAGGATGTGGAGCTGACCAACTTGATCTCTCCCAGGAAGCCTTCTCCACCATTGCTAACACTGATGCTGGAAGAATCCGAATTGAATATAATCAGTAAGGAATATGATAATTTAATTTTGTCAATAAGTAAATTTGTTTTCGTAGATTTCATTTAGTTGTGCTTTGATCAATTCTCGTAGCTATTAGCACTAACTTAGTTAAATTTCTTTTCCTTTTTTTTTTTTTTTGTGATTTTCAGGGTCTGAGACAACTTAATGTGGGAAAACAAGAAACTTCAAGTTACCGAGAATAAGCTTTTCAGCATATTTTAGGCATAATATAATAAGTCAATTTAAGAATTTTCTGTAATAACAAGTTGGTGTTTGCTGTGTGAATGTGAAGATATCTATTGATAACTTCCATATACAAATAAAATTTCGAAATTTATGTATCACTGCGATATTTGTTATTTGACCTTCAATAGATCGTTACTAATATTGGAGAGTATGCCTGTAACAAATTGAATTCTCTTTTTAAAGGATACGATAATAAATAGAACATTAATAAAAAAATTAAATGTACAGAAGACAGTCATATCTATTGTCTAAATATGTTCACTGTCACCGAGTTATTCCACCACCCAAATCACTATTACAAACCCTATCTATACCTCTATAACAACCGCTGAAAGTTCAAAATATTTCAATTCTCAATTCTTGCTGTTGATTTTCTAAAATCCAACCATGTCAATTTTAACAAACCGTAACTTCAGTTGCAAATTCGAAGTGGGTAAGAAGTTTGGCTAATTTAACGAAGAAAATTAAATTATTTCTAAAGTAATTTTTTTCTCTTTTGATCATGCTTCGAAAGTTACTTTTCATACTTGTGATTACAAAATGTTTCTTATTTTGAAAGTAGGACTTATTTTCTATCAAAATGATTTACTTACTTCCAGTAAAAGATACTTTTCCTTGACAAATTACCAGTTCAGTATTAGTACATTAGGCAATTTGCTTCATTCACCACCATAACAATTTCCATTGGCTGAAATTCTCAGTTAAACTTTCCTAGTTTTGATTCACCAATTGCTATGATTGGAAGTGACACATTTGGTCTCAAATTTTCATTAGTCGATTCTTTTTCAATTTCTCAACGTTAATCACTTTTTCTCTATATCCGTTGCAAAGTCAAATATATGTAATAATGAGGCAAATAATAAAAGAAAAGAACTAAAATAATCAAACTTTGGGATAAAGTAAGTTGGAGTTGATTAAAAGTCTTCACACTAAAAAAAAGAAAGAAAAAAGAAAAAAGAACCATTTATAAACAAGTGGGATGAACAATTAGGAAATTAAAAAAAAAATAATAATAAAAATAAAAATAGAGAACGTTATAGGGACCTCTGCTAGGTAATGTATGTGGAAAATACGGAGATAGATCTACGGCTCTTCCAACCCTTTGACTGTTATGAACAACTTATTCATTATTTTACCATTTTTAAGAGTTTGAAAAAGACTGTAAAGTGCCCCCGATACCCCCTTATTAATTTCCATTAGAAAACTTTTTTATTTGTTTTATGTTCATTGAAAAATAGTAAAAATTATACAACAATTATCATTTACCTTGACAATACTTGATCCAAAATATTTATTAAATTATTAGATTTACATAATAATAATAATAATAATAATAATAATAATAATAATAATAATAATAATAATAATAACCATGTTACTCAAATAAAATTTGCAGAACTACCTTTGATGTGTAACTAATCTTTAAATCTAAATTCTTACCTAGACAGAACCTACTTCAATCATGTTCTTGAATCTTGAATATTAGGTTCAATTTTGAGATTTCCAACATGGTTGGATATTGCAAAAAATAAAACAGATTTTAATTTTCTACCAAGGATTTTATTGTATTTAGATAGAAATTGTGTTTAAAATCATACATTTGATAAATTCTGCAATCTCCTTTGCCGATCATGGAACACAAACAATTACGATCTGCAATTCACAACTGTCAAATTGTCCAACTTTCAATGAAAATCTACGCAGGAACAAGAATGAGAAAATTAGGATTTCTTTTTTCTTATACTAACAATAATATGAATCGTGTTCTATTATTTCTGAAACCATAATAGCTTATTAATATAAGTCTAAGTGGGCTTGGCTTCTCTTTTAAACTTAAATCGATCCAATATTTAATTAATATAATTAATTAATATGGTACAAGAATTAATTAATCCAATTAATTAATTCGAACCTATTAACAAACAACCTAATTAATTAATTATCCAACACTTATTAATTAATTAATTGGTAAACCTCATTTTTCTAGTTCTTCTTTTGTGTACGACCCATTAGATTCCTGATCGTGATGTTGAATGGTATGAAGTATTAATTTAATCTAATCAAAATTGATAAATTAAAATATTCTTTTTTTAATTTATCGACAATTCACACTAATCGTTCCAAATTGACATCTAGTAGTGTATCAGGTAATAACACAAAATGTCATATGGTACGAAAAATGAAACTTGTTCATTTATCGTAAAACTATAATCATTTCGTTAATATGATCCGATCAATTACAAGATATGGATATGTGTCAATCTCAATTATCTATCATATCTTTCATTCTACTATTAAGTCAATATAAGCCGAAAAATCTTTTTTGACTTATGAGTACACGTTAGTCAAGAATTTCGTTATCAACTTAATTGAATGAAATGTAGATCATAAGCTCTTATTAATTAAGAGTTCTGAATCCTCTTTTGATAATTCACAATCTTTATATGTTTCTTGACATATTCTGAATGATGCCGTATGAGCAATCCCTGGCAAAGCCATATCCAATATTACCATAGTATGACTGTCATAATATAAGGCACTATGATGACCATAAGTCGAAAAACCAATTCCACTATCAAAGGCTAGAGATTAACCACTAATACTCAGATAGTTATTCACATAAAATCTCTCCAATAGATTTCCAATGTTTCGTTCTATAATAAAACATCAACGTATTCATTTAAGTGTCACAACACTTTACCTTGTGAGATCAGCTACTTACTTTAAAAGTAAGAAATGCCACATGTGATTGTTTATCCATAAAAGCGATATTTATATCTCATTATTACTTATGACCACGGATGATTTAAGATTCGATCACATGTAATTTGTATCTTACAATTGCAACTTTTTGTAATTAACAAATTATTAAGACTTGAATCTACAGATTCTATTATTTATTTTATTAGAATATTAATTAAATTAAATAACAGTTTGTCATAAATGAAATATATAAATTATACATAAAAAATGTTTAAAATCAAATTTGATTGAATTTAGGACATAACACTTTCAAACTCTTCTTTGATAAATATCAAAAGCATGAATAACAGTTGGTGAATGAGCATATCAAGAACAAGTCAAAGAGTTTGTGGAATAGAATAAGAAAATCAAGAGATCAAAATCACTCTTTTCTAATCTGTAGAAGGCAGCCAGAGCAGTGCAAATTGTCTGAGTTGGCCATCCCCCCAAGCTTTATTTATAGCGCCATGTCTTATACCTAGTTTGTTTAACTCTTATCTCTAATTTTTCATTTTTGCACAAGCAGTACCTGACCTTTATTAAGCACACAACTTTTTCTGAAGCTACTAAAGAGATCCATTGGAATTATATAATTTAAACTACGATAGTTATATTTAATCGAGCCAATTCAAAACTACTTTGTATAATTATTAGTTTTCAATTTTACCACTAAAGGCAGAAAACTGAACTCTTAAATTATACAAAAATTGTATAAACAATATAAATTTATCCCTACAATTCATGTTACCCTGTCGGATGTCAAGTAATTAGAGCAGGACTAGATGACCCTTTTTCCTTCCAGATCGCATTTTGAAAGCAGTTTCTTTTTTACATGTTTATATTTAAACTGCTTTCTCTTAAAAAAAATAAAATAAAAAATACTACAGCGGATTCATTTAGCCATCGAACAAGTTGACGAATTTCAAAGGTGAATACATGTTCATTGCTTCGATTGGCTCACAATGTACTGATATGATGATGATAATAAATTGAACTCACTCATTGACATATCACGGAATTTCAAGTTCACTGATGGCTACCACTATCCTACTAAGGATTTAGGTATTCCATAAGGCAATCATGTATGATTAATTCTTTAGGATAGTCCTGCTATAAAATTAATTAATATTTTACTTCGTTGTCCAGCCCAATATACTTTTAGGGGTATTAGTATCATTACTTTTGAACGGAAATTCACCATCGCCAAGACAAACCACATTTCCCAATTGGTAAAATATTTAACCCTTCGACCCAAATAACGACGTCTCCCACTTGGATGCCACATCATCTGTGAAGATGATCCTTTCGCATGCTGATGTGACATGGATAAATATTTATAACTCGATCGACTAGGTTTTTCCGACCAAAAAAAAAAAAAACACTAGACGATCGAGGCTCCCACGTACGCAGAACCCTAACATTCAACTAGGGTCTCAGACATGAACATAAACTTTACTGCGAATTCTGACAAAATTGACCTAGAAGTTAGTGCATTAAACTCTTGCATGCAAACTATGAAATTCCAATATATCAACGAGTATTGAAAAATTTTAATAGAACCTGTACCGAAATTGATGTGACAAAATATGATTGGATTAGTTTTTTTTTTTTTTTCCATCTTTCAATATTATCTTGTCATGTGTTGTCTGTACCTATAGCATTGTCGATGAAATTCTGGACAAGTACTAGAAAAGAACAACATTAATAATGGGACTTAATAACGACTTTTAACACACAGATAAAAGAATATCAGATCCTGAAAATGAGTAAAATATCCTTTAAATCTTCTATAAATAAGACAATTGCACAATTCAAAAAATATTGAATTACATGGTAAAGAATCTAAAGATTTAAAGATTGTCTCCCCTAAAAAAAGCTTTGACTGGAAAGAACATCAAGATTTGGACCTCTTCAAAATTTAAAGAGTATATCTAATCGAGAAACAATCTCCGATCAAATCTCAATTTCTCTCGTTCTTGTACAATAAATTGACTTCTAAGCACATCAGAAATCTCAAAAAAGAGGGGAAATTCTGTCGAAATTGGGAGGGAAAACATATAGATTCCATTGACTAAAATTCTCATTTCAAAATCTTCATAATTTTATCAATAGACATTTTATCTTCTAATGTACATATTTGATATTCACCAATTTCCATAATCTCACATATTTGGTGTAAAATTTTGATTGCTCTTTTCTTCTTTATTTTTCGATGATATTCACTTTATCCCCTTAAAGAAGTCATTATGAACCACACTAGCACACAAATAATATTTTAAAAACTATTTCAAGTCTAAACTTCGGAATATTATGAAGGAAGATGTTACAGTGACAGAAAAATGGTTGACATATAACTTGATCGATACTCACA